GGGAGGGAGGGGAGGGAGAGGCTGAGAGGGAGAAGAGTAAGAAGGAATAGAGAGGGGGAAGCAGGAGAGAGTAATCTTTCTTATGAAAAGTAATCTTTCTTATGAAAGATTTTACCCTGTATAAGACCTTATACTTTAACTGATCAACATTCCAGTTATTAAATGTATCATAATTTATTTAATTGATTTACTATGGACACTCAGGTTGTTTTCAGTCTGGGGTTATCAAGTGTGATGCTGCACTAAATATTCTTGGGTAGATTGTGTGGGTTAGGGTTTGGGATAAGTAGTTGTAGGAGTGGTATTATGATATAAAGTGGTGCAGATGGGTGGCACAAACACAACTTCACATCTCTTGGACAAGTTCTCTGAGTTTCTGAGTTTTAGCCTGTTAAGCAGGAACAACACTTACTGACAAACGTAAAAATATGAAAAAAAAAATATACACACACACACACACACACACACACACGCACACACGCACACGCCTAACTCAGCATCTGGCATGCAGCAAATACAAAATAAATATTATTTTTAAATGGCATATGAATACATTATCTTGTTTCCGGGGCTTCACCTGATATTAAGTTTGTTCCTTTAGGGCTGAGGATGTAGGTCAGTGGTAGAGTGCTTGCCTATCATATGTGAGGACCTGGGTTCAATCCCCAGTATCAAAAAAAAAAATGTTTTTTTAAACTGACTATAATATGAACAAAGATCATTATTCAAGATTTGTTTTGTTAAAATTACTAACCCTGAATATTTTTCTGCTTGTCCCCTGCTCACTCTCCACAGGGAGTATATATGGGCTGGCTGACAGCTTCTGGAAGTGGAGCCCGGATTCTTGGGCCTGTGTTCATCAGTCACGTGTATACTTACTTGGGGCCACGATGGGCGTTCAGCCTTGTGTGTGTAATCGTCCTGCTCACCATCACACTCCTCGGAGCGGTTTACAAGAGACTCATTGCCTTTTCTGTAAGATGTGGGAGGATTCAGGAGTAAGGTAGCTAAGACTATGGTGGAACATTCTTGATTTGTGTGGCATTTCCTAGTCGAAAGCTATGCCCCACAATTGCTACGATCCAGTCACCATATATAGGCTGTGGATACATTGCACATTTTGAAAAACAAGAACATATGTAAATAACAGAGGGGAGTCTACATGCGATTGTGAATAGTAGGACACATAAAACATTCTGGGTCATAATTTTCTATACTTTTCTTATTATGCCCTTTTGGGATTTCATGAACTAAACAGCGAGTGGCAGTGGTCTATAGGTATGAAAACTACACTCTTAGTACAGACTACAAAAGTCTCATTAAAATAATGAGAGAATATACAGTGGAACCAGGACAAGTTCTGTACCAATTAGCTGTATTATAGAATGAAATTATAGAATTTTTTTAGCCTAAAGAGGTATTTTAATTCAAAGACAACTACTTTTTATTTATAAAAACACATTTTCTGTTCATACATTTCCTTGCGAAGTAAAAATCATGACCCTTAAATTCTCCATTTAGCATGCCTGCCATCCTTCCTGTCTTGTATAAATCTTTATTGTAATACTGCATCTCTGTCTTATTTTAGTTCAATATTTCACTAAACCCTAAATTGATGTCAGCAAGAAAAATGCTAATATTTGAAAAATGAAGAGGTCAAAATGGATATCTTGCCCTTTAGTGGAGTTACACTATTTAATTCTTGGAAGTGCTAATAATTCACTTTGTATCCATGTATTCAATAGTACGTGATTTCTTAAAATTATGGCTATATCCCAACTCCTTTAAGCTTTAGAGAAAAATTCACTGTGATTAAATATTGCCCATCTAAATTACAAGAGGGAACACAACAGTCCCTTGTCTGCAGAGCTGTTAAAGAGCTATAGAATTTTAGTTGGATTTTAAATTTGGATGGGAACTAACAGCCCTGTCAATTCAGGTTAATAAGCATCTGAGCAGAATGGCTTTCATCGAACAGTTTATTGGTACATAGGATGCTGGTAAGTTACTAGTACAGAACTGTGCACGTGATAATAACAAAACTGCAAAAAATAGTGGTAAATATCCTTCCAAAAGTTTCCTATTTTACGTTATAAGCATTTCCAAATCTTAAGAATAAATACATAATCTGCACTTTACAGTAAGAAATACTCCTCCACCCAATTTCATCAGCTCTAATGGAAGGCTTAATGTTCTTGAACTCACTGTACAGTTATGTTTTAGAGATTTTTCACTCTTCTCCACCTCCCTAGCAGGACTCTGCTTACAGGTCATCAGCAAGCTTCTGGCAATTTGGTGAAATCCTGGAATCACCTTTACCTTTCATTCTGAAGCTTCTCAGTTTTTGTCTCACTTTTAATCATAAAGAGCAAACTCCACCCTTGGTTTGGGTAGTGTGTGCACGATGGATAATAACAATAATGATAATTGATGAAAATAACGAATATTTATGGAATTCTTTCCATATTCCTGGTAACGTGTAATTTATCACAACTATTCTATAGGGTGAAGATACTATTATTCCCATTTTAGAGATGGAAGATTGAAGGCATAGAGAAGTTACTTGTCTAGGTGTTTCGTCTAGTTCTTAACCACTATATTTTTCATAAGGGAAAATAACTATGAAGTTGGATTATTAATAGATTACTAATTGTGAGGTAAATTAAGTTACCTGTCCCAGTGACTTTTGTTAGCAGAAATATTTGGCAAACAATTAACACCTCTCCACCAGAATTTTATCATAAAACATGAATATGACAAGAAAAATTCCCAGCTTCTAAAGTTATTCTTTGATTACAATTCAGATAAACTATAACCTTGCAAAACTGACTGCCACCTTCTTTTTTTTTTTTTTAAAGAGAGAGTGAGAGAGAGGGGGACAGAGAGAGAGAGAATTTTTAATACTTATTTATTTTTTCTTGGTTCTCGGCGGACACAACATCTTTGTATGTGGTGCTGAGGATCGAACCCGGGCCGCACGCACACCAGGCGAGCGCGCTACCGCTTGAGCCACATCCCCAGCCCCTGCCACCTTCTTTTTTATTGACAGTGCTTTCTTGATCTAACACCAAAGATAGGGCAATAACGGGTTTTGGGAAAGAACAGGGAGGTGGTTTGAGAAATAATTAAATAACTTAGTTTAACTCTTCCATTGGACAAAATGAGTATAAATTAAAGATGATGTAGAGTCCTTAAATTATGAAAAACTAGGAGTGGTTTACATTGCCAGGCATGGTGGCATATGCATTTTATAATCCCAGCAACTTGGGAGGCCAAGGCAGGAAGATTGAAAGTTTCAGACCAACCTGGGCAATTTGGCAAGATCCTGTCTCAAAACAAAAAGTGCTAAGAATGTGGCTCAGTGGCAGAGCACCGTGGGTTCAATGCCCAGTAGCAGGAAAAAACAAAAGAACATATTTAGAAAAAGATATTTTTGAAGACCTAAGCATATTTTGAGTGGATTTATAACTTCATAAAATATTCTATTTTGCTAAGCTTGTCTTGTATTTTCTTACATAAGGTGAAATAAAGTTTATAACTTTTTTATCTGGACAAGGATAAACTATTTGCATCTGTTCAAGAATTAATTTATTTTGAGAAGAAATTCTGTGTACTATTGTAGATTCATATGTAATTTTGTCTGTTGTATTGTGAATGTTCACTTTCTAATAAACAAATTATTGTATATATGTACCTTAGCCTTAAAATTTTAACCATACTTTCAGTCCATATTTAAGAGGACACCCACTATATGACAATTACTAAGTAATTGTTGAATATGGAACAGGAAAAATACCCAGAACCCCTCCTCACAGGAGGCAGGAATCTCCGGCCTGAGTTTCATGTTACATGGGCGAGGAAAGTGCCCTGTGAGGAAACAGGAGTGTAGGGAGCTCTGAGAGTAACAGGGAACCAGGACCAGGAAAGTTGGGAGCATGTCTCTAATGAAGTAATGATTGCCTAAGACCTGATGGAAGAGGATGATTGGGATTGGTGAGGAGTGGGACAGGCAGGGCTTATAGGAACCCGAGAGGTGAGATCATCTTGGAGGTCCCAGAACCAAAAGCCGACCGGAGGAAGCTGGAGTACAGCGATGAGGAGCAAAATTCTGTTAGTTGAGGCTAGAGGAACCAAACCAATCAGGATTCCTTGCTAAATTGAAAACCCTAATTCTAAAGAAAATACCAAACAAAACATTATGAATACATTTCTAGTAAATGTCAACAATTTCTAAAGTTAAAATCTCAACCACAATGAAGTGACCAACTCAGATGGAAGAAGGTATTTTGACATGTATCTTGACAAAGGATGCACACCTAGAGTTATAAATGCCACTGAGAAAATGCAGACACCCCAATGTGAAAAGGTAGATTGTCAATTCAATAAAAGCACAATTTTTAGTAATAGGGGAAATGTAAATTAAAGTCAGATTGTTCCTCATCCTCGCCAGAACCTGGTGTTGGAATCATTTTAAATTAGTGCCAATTTGACAAGCACAGAATAGTACATTTGTACAATTCTATTATTAATACTGTTCTGTACTATTCTATGCTTGTCAAATTGGCACTAATTTAAAATGACTACAACACCAGGTTCTGGTGAGGATGAGGAGCAATCTGTACTTTCATATACTGCAGAAATATTAAAAAAGCTGGCATTATCTACCGAAGTTTAAGATAAAATAATTCCCAAGATCCAACAGGTTCATGTCTTGAACTTGTGTGCAGGTGCACCAGAATCCCAGTGACTCTAGGCTGAGGCAGGAGGATCCCAAGTTCAAGGCCAGCCTCAGCAACTTAGTGGGATACTGTCCCAAAATTAAAAAAAAAAAAAAAAAAAAGTGTGTGTGGGGGCAGGGGCTCAGTGGCTAAGTGCCCCTGGTTTCAATCCCCAATGACCTAGGAGGAAACATGAGGTTAAGTAGTCTATCAATTTGTGGTTTCATTCTATTTATAAACATGTGAGTCTGTACATTATACACACACACACACACACACACACACACGGGGGGGGGGGGTGGTGATGAATGAACCCAGGGGCTCAACCACTGAGCTACATCCCTAGTCCTTGTTATTTTTTTTGAGACAGGGTTGCTGAGGCTAGCCTGGAACTTGTGATCTTCCTGCCTTAGCCTCTGGATCCACTGTCACTGTGCCCAGCTCTACTCTTGTTTTTTCATTAGGAATGGCTATCCCACTATCAAATAGTTCTTCATGCCAATTAATTACAACATTAAGTTCTTCAGTGTTAAAATGTTTACATTAAAATATACATTCATTTAAGAGAATATCTTTAATATTTAACTTAGAAAATTAAGTTATAAAATTTGTTTCCTAAACAAGAAAATTTAAAAATGAGTTTGTAGTAACTTATTTTAAAGTATTTAAATAAGTCAAAAGATAAAATTACTTCTTGTTACATTTATTTTTTTTTATAAAATGCATTTGCCAAAACGTTTAAGCAGACACTGGTGCTACAAAAATAAATATAAAACAACTATACATGTTTACATATGTTACTTATAACATAAATACATATTATTTACATGTTCAAAAATTCCAAACTTCAGCATATTTTGTCCATGATTCTCAACATGTCTGGGAAGTAGAGAAACAATAAAAGCATAAATACACCACACACCATTTATATTTTTGCTTTTAAAAAAACATTCAATACAAATACACTCAGTAAGCTTGAGGGTATGTTTTCAGAGCAAAGTTAGGCATCCTATTGTACTCTGCGACCAATTATTTGTTGACTCAAATTTCATTCAGTTTTCTCTCAGCACACATCCTTCACTGTACAGATTAAAATTCTCTTTAATAGGCTTTCTGAAGAAGTTATATTAAATAAAAAGTCACTTTACTTGAAAGCCAACCAAAAAGTTATTTATTAAATGTAGGTATCTTTTCAATTAATGAAAACCAGGAGTTGCATTAGAAAACATCAACAGGATGGAAGACAGACACTGTAATTTCTGTTTGATGTATTCCGGTAATTTTTCATTGTCTCCATACCTAAGTGAAATAAAAGAAAAAAGATAAAACCATAATCATCTCTCCATTCTTAAGGAATACCAAAAACCATATTATATTTTTTATTCTTCAATGACAAGACATCTCAGGAAAAATCATCCATGTGGGGTTGGGTTATGGCTCAGTGGCAGAGCACTTGTCTCACACATATAAGGCACAGGGTTTGATCCTTAGCATCACATAAAAATAAACAAACAAAGATATTAAAACAGTCATACACAATTATTTATTAGTCACCTCAATCTAGTTAAGCATACCCATTTTTTTTCTTCTTAAAATAGAATAATTAGCCAGGCATGGTGGCACATGCCTGTAATCCCAGTGACTGGAGAAGATAAGGGAGGAGGATCATGAGTTCAAAGCCAGCAACTTAGCAAGGGCCTAAGCAACTCAGTGAGACCCTGTCTCTAAGGTAAAACAAAAAAAACAACATAAAAAGGGCTAGGATGTAGCTCAGTGATTAAGCATTCCTAGGTTCAATTCCTGGTACCAAAAAAGAGAACAATTTATAAACATTTAAATAACAACAAGAAAATAAAATACTCGAACTTACTATATTTTCTGAAACAAGGTTTCATTCCTTGAATGCTTTCTCAAGGAAACACTAAGTTAAACATGATAATACATTTCTATTAGATGTTAAGAACTTGCAATTGACCTTGTCAGTAGAATTGCAGCATTCATCTGTGAACATGTATCCCACCCACTCTACATCTGCACCCTTCCACTTCCTTGAGCATTTAAAGTGTTTTTAACGATTCCTATGAGCAGTTACTGAAGTGATGCTACTACACATACACATGCATTTCACAAAAAGCATGAGAGCCACACACGTCTACTACAACAGAAAGACCACATGAAGCAGCATGTTTCTGTTAGCACCACCATGTCTTAGGTCTTTCTAACAAGTCATGTTTTATTTATTTATATATTTTTAAAAAATTTATACCTTTATTTCACTCATTTTTAAATTTTTTACGTGGTGCTAAGGATCCAACCCAGGGTCCCGCGCGTGCAAGATGAGCACTCTACCGCTGAGCCACAATCCCAGCCCAACAAGTCATGTTTTAAATATGGAAACTTTTTCATGCTACTGACAGTTTTGTTATTTTTGGCATGATGCCCAGCACACATATTCATGCAGAGTGAATAAAAAGTTGTCACTTGGCATGTTTAGGGGACAGTTTCCAGGACAGTTTCCCCATAGATAACCAGAATCTGAGAATACCCAATTCCCTTCCATAACATGGAACAATATTTACATATCACCTATACACATCCTCCCATTTACATTAAGCCCTCTCAAAATTACTTGTAATATCAAATGCAATGTAAATTTTACCTAAATAGTTATACTGTATTATTTAGGGAATAAAAAAAAATTCTGCACACATTCAGTACAATCTTTTCAAATATATTTGACCTGTTGTTGGTTGAACTGTGGATGTGGAATCTGTATATGGAAGGCCAACTGTTTACATTCATTAATCACTAGATCAGGGGATATACTGTTTCATTTGGGAAAAATAATCAAGTTTTTAAAATTTTATTTTCCAAATGCATAACTGGGATTTTTATTTATTTATTTTTTGTGGTTGTAGATGGACAGTATGCCTCTATTTTACTTTTATGTGGTGTTGAGGATTGAACTCGGAGCCTCACACATGCTAGGCAAATTCTCTGCCATTTACAGCTCTAGCCCTCAAGTTATCTTTAAAAGACAGATATGTTTCTATGCTTTTTTTAGGTATACTACTTTCAACTTCATTAGAATTTTCTGCAAAGTTCCAACCTAGTTAGACTATGGAGTAAAGCTGCAGAGAGGTATTAGGGATGTAGGTTAGGTGTAGAGCACTTGACTAGTATATGCAAGCCTCTAGGTTAAATTCCCAATAGCCTTGAAAAAAGGGGGTTACAAGTTATCTAACGACTTGAATGGATTAGGAGCAGATTATTCATACCAGTTGCCCTGCATTAATGTAGATAATTATAAAATAGGCATTAGAAACATAATACGATCTTCTAAGAATAATGAACACTTTGAAGAATGGTAGCCAGGGGAGTGGTAGTGCATGCCTATAATCCCAGTGACTTCAGAGCTCAGGTAGATAGAAAATTCAAGGCCAGGCTCCACAAGTTACCCAGACTTTGTCTCAAAAAATGAGACGGTAATTTTATTATTTTTGCATAGCAAGAAAGCAAAATGTATAAATGGTGTTATCTGAACTAGTATTTTTAAAAACTTACCTAGTTGTTTGACCATTTGGTGACGTGTAACTGATAGAAGATACTCCTGCCTGGACAACCAGCTGGGACCCATCATTAAACTGAACCCACACAGCTCCACTAGTTAACTAGAAAAATAATAAGCATACTAATTGACTCTGCAATAGAGGATCTGAGGTTCTTAAAAGGTACTCAAGTTGAACATATCAACAAGTTTTCTATAATTTTGAAACTCTCTCCAGTAACTGTAGATTTAGGACTGGAATAGTTTTAGCATTGAGAATATTCATGTCTTTTCTGGGTTAATCCTTTAATAGATTAAGTACTATAATATTAAAATTATTCTAAATGAATCCCATTTTTCACCAATTTCCACTGTACGTGTTTACCCCTCCCCTCACAGAGTATTTTAACCCTTTCTTTG